GGGAGAGGACAGGCACTTCGATTTAATGTTTTATATTTGTTTAATATGTATTGTGTACTGTAATGTATAATGTGCACTAATGATCAAAATTCCATTCTAATGGTAGTGGCTCATGGACGCTGATGTACCAGTAAATTGATTTGACGTGATTTACACCTAATTACTTAAAACTACATTATATATATGTATGTATTGATGTATAAGATGATGATTATATAAAACATATATTAATCAATGCCATGAGAAGGCCTATATTTAACCAGATTTATAATCTATATAATATTTACCAAAAGATCTCTTCTTGCATATGTTGGCTATTGGTATCCTTATTTATGGTTTTTTTTTTATCAAGATGAAGACGTTATTAGTGCTATAAACGAATCAAAATATCATTTTTACAATTTATATTATAGTAACTCAAGTCCCCTAATATCAAATACATAACACAAGAGTTATACGTTTAAGTTTTGTAGACCATAGATAAAGATATCAATACAAATATGGCAGTGATAATTTTACCTGTACTTTATTAAGATCCAAAAATAATTCCATTTTAATGAATATTCCTATCTTTATTTCACAAAAATAATTATAAATATTTCAGAATTTACTTACAGAGACATGAGACACAAGGTATTTAAATACATGATGAATTAAGGATAGGCTTTAATAGTGCACGTTATTATATTTATTGAAAGATTCGTCAGTTGGCAAGGAAAAAAACTATACATTAATATTAATACTTCTCGAAATTATGACGTATTTATAAACATATAATATATCTAATTAGTACAAATTGGCTTCTCTGAGCATTATATTTTGTAATCAAAATAATTTAAGATATTATAGATAACATCTTAAATGATGAGCTTATATCTAATTGTTATACCAAAGAATATGTCGGCATTGTATATCTTTTTTGCGCTTGTACACTGTAATGATTAAATAACACATGTACATTGGCTTCAGGAAATCACATTCAATACATTTGATTTAGTATAATCTAGCGATTATTCTACTTCTACACAATCAAAGTTATAATTAACGGCTTGTGATGTATTTTGTATGTCTGCTCTGAACATATCTTTTCAATTGGAAAATATATATGTGCACATTACTTATTGTCTCTGATCCTAAGATACATCATGTAACGCAATTTGAGTTGCGTTTTTTCAGGAGTATATGAGTGGGATAAAACTATATTAACCATCATAATTGCGCTATAAAAGATAAGATTAAAAGTTATAACTTAAATGAAAAGTCGAATATAAATGATTTATTTGTTTTAATCAGGATTTAACCTTGCATTGCCGCGCTCAACAATCGTCTATATATTTTATAGCGTGATTTTTTGTTTATATGACAGTATATACATTTGCAACTTGCAGACAAATGTACTTGTACTAAAAATCACTCTTACACTAAACATTTATTTACTCTTCATTTTATTAGATAGTTCCATAAATCACCTACAGATTGCTCAATATTTCTTGTTATTTCCATATTAAAATTGATTAAACTGATATGGTAGCAATTACTTGTCTTTCTTTCCTACATTACAAGTGATTACAAAGAGGAACTAGAATTATTGATGTATTTGATATCGTACCGTGGAAATGAACTAATTGTATAATTTTTAGATTTTAAGATTCATTATTTTAAAATTATTATAATCTTCGACATTTCCATATATTAGAATTTTTATCTAAAACATCTGTCTATATAGAAACATTTATTGATTTTAGCATTCTGTATGTCTTATTTTATTTATAGAGTATAATTAAAAAAGATAAACATTATTACGATCTGTATTCTATATTTAATATGTTGTATATTACACTATATATTCCACATTTCATTGCTAAATATGTAATTCCCAGTTTACCATGGCATATCGAATAAGATTTTCATATTAGACGAATCAACTAAAAATCAAGAATCCCTACGGATTGTAAATGAGAATCAATATTACCTTTGTCAGCCTATGCTGGATTTATTCAACAATGCTCGACTATGGTAATCAAGGATCTTCGAGGATTCCCAAATCTTCTGTCCCGTGAAGTACAGGACTGAAATTTAAGGATGTCTTGACCATTTCATCAACGATATCGATTATGCAGCCTCCTGCCTCTGTCATCAAATGCCTGTCACAGGCTGTCGTATCTTTGAAGCTTTCATTTATAAGAAATGAAAAAAAAAACTGCTATCTCTGCGCTCTTTAAAGCAGTAATTAAAATAAAGCATATTTCAGCAGATATAGAAAGAAGGAAGTATGTGAGTATGAGAAAGCGTAGCTAATAAATGCTAATGTGCTTTCTTACGTTTGATGCGCTCTAAATAAAATGTATAAATACATTTAGGTATCGCAAAAGTAACGGTCTAATTTATTACAAATATGAGAAAGCATTCTTTTTTTCTTTCTGTTGTGGATTCCGTTCATAGAGCATTCTATTTTCTATATAGGACCATGAGCTACAGCTATCAAATATCTGCTCTATAATGCCCAACTAAACTGCTATTCATTTGATGTAACTGAATCTGATTGATTTTTGGTGTATAGATACACACAGCAAGCAGACTCCGCTAAATGTCACTGAAATTCAGATTTTCTTTGAAAACTCCACGGGAGGATCGCTAATTTCTCAACTGCCTTATACCGAATAATTTCATCGAGAAAAAATACGATTTTGAAGTAAAGTATAAGGCTATAAAAGTATAAACTATCTTTTTTGCTTTTTAACCGATCTTAATCATATGATAAATATGTAACAATAATGACATTTTTGTACATGCTCAAAATTAACAATTTTTATTAAAGAAAATGTTATATTGATTTGCTGTGTGCAAATAAGCGGTGTGCAACTTTACACTGTGCAAATAAGTATTGATTGAATTGAATAACAGGAATATGAATAATACTGAATAAAAACTAATAAAAAATACTGAAAACTTTGCAATATTTTACAAATCCACATATATAAAGTTATGATAAATGATAAACGTAAGGTTTTAAAATTGCAGGTAGATTTAATGTTGCAACATGCAATTTCGACAATCAAA